ATCTTAAGTGAGAATAACAGCACAATTCGAAGAGCGTAGTCAATGTCACTGAACTGTGCATGTAGAAATTTTGGAAATGGTGTATCTTTGGCTATGTGTATTTTCACCAGGAAAAAAAAAAAAAAAAGGATGAGAAGTTAGAGGGTTGATATGTTGTGGGTTGTTAACCAATGTCATAAAACATGTGTACTTCTGTTTCATGAGAAACTATTTGTTCTGTAAGCCTCCACCTGAAGTACAATGAAAAAAATAAATTACAAAAAAACAAAACAAAAGGATGCACTCCGCTCCCAGCTCTGCTTGTTTGCTGGTAGGAGGTCCCCCTATCTCTCTGCTTGCTTCTTTTATATTTCAAAAGAGACTGACTGAAGATACATCCTAATCTTATACAGTCCTGCCTTATTAACACAACTGCCTCTAATCCTACCTAATTACATCATAGTGGTAGGATTTACAACATATAGGAAAATCACATCAGATGACAAAATGGTGGACAGTCACACAATATTGGGAATCATGGCCTAGCCAAGTTAACACACATTGTTGGGGGACACAATTCAATTCCTAACACTTGGCCTGTAGTTCCATCACTCCAATTTCAACCTCCATATTTACATGGCTGGCATTCTATTTCTGCGTGTCTGTCTCCCTCCTTCTTATAAAGAGACCAGTCATACTGTATTTAGGGCCCACTCTAATCCAGTATGACCTCATCTTAACTGATTATATCTGCAAAGACCCTACTTCCAAATAAGGTCACATTCTGAGGTTCTGGGTGGACATGAAGTGTTGGGGGACACTACTGAATTCTGCACATTCACTCTACACGTTGACAGCAGAGTGATTGTAGGAACTGGAACCCTTGGCAGTGGAAAAAACAGAAAATGAGATAAACTGCAGAGGTTCTGCCTGAAATGTAATACATGCCACTTCTGCTCACATTTCAATGGCCAAAGCAAGTAATATGGCCAAGCATGACTTCAACAGAATGAAAAACATAACCCCACAGATCCTAGAAGCTCAACAAATCACAAACATAAGAATGATGAAGAAAACTATATCAAAACACATCATAATTAAATAGCTTAGTACTAGTGATAGAAAAACCTTAAAAGCAACCAGGGAAAAAAAAAAAAAAAAGGAATATATAGGAACGAAGAAAAGAATGACAGTAGACTTTTCATTGGAAATGATGCAAGACAGATGATAGTGGAACAACATATTTAAAATCCTGAAAGAGAAAACCTGTAATACTAAAGTGAAAATGTATCTCAAAAACAAAATATTTAACATAAGAAAATCAATGTTCACTACACTAATAAAGATCACATGATCATCTCAATTGAAGCAGAAAAGGCATTTGACAAAATCTAACACCTTTTCATGATTAAAAAAAAAAACAACAAAACTTAAGGAGGGAAATTCCTCAACACGATAAAGGGAATTTATGAAAAACCCACAGTGACATCATACTAAACGGTGAAAGTCTAAAAGCTTTCCCCCCCAAGATCAGAAACAAGACAATGATGCTGAATGGGTTAAGACTTTAGGGGATGATCCAACAGGGTGAATGTCTTTTTGCATACAGGAAGGATGTGAATTTTAGGAGGCCAAATGTTATGGACTGAATTGTGTGCTCCCCCGTAACAGTGTTGAAATCCTGACCCTTGTACCTGTAAGTATGACCCTGTTTGGAAATAGAGGTTTTTCTTTTGTTATGTTAATGAGGTCATGCCAGTATAGGGTGGATCTTACACCTAATCACTTCTGAGTTATAAAAGGACCAGAATAGACACAGACACACACACACAAGGGGAAGGCAGATGCCATGTGAGGACCATCTACAAGCTAAGGAATGCCAAGAACACCCATAGCTACTGACAAGAAAGGAATCAACAGGACTGAGACCCTAATTTGGACTTTTAGCCTCCAGAACTGTGAGAAAATAAACTGTTCTTTAAAGCCCCCTACTTACAGGGATTTCTGTTATGGCTGCACTAGATAACTAAGACAGTAGCCATGTATCTGATAAGGGTTTAATATACACAATACATAAAGAACTCCTACAACTTAACAACAAAACAACTAACAATAATGGGCAAAAGACTTGAGTATTTCTCCAAAGATATACAAATGGCCGATAAGCACAGGAGAAGATGCTCAATATCATTAGTCATTAAAACCCACTGCCATCAAGTCAACTCATAGCGACCCTATAGGACAGAGTAGAACTGCCCCATAGGGTTTCCAAGGAATGGCTGGTGGATTCGAACTGATGACCTTTTGGTTAGCAGCTGTCATGGTTTGAATTATGTCCCCCCAAAAATGTGTGTATCAATTTGGCTGGGCCATGATTCCCAGAATTGTGTGGTTGGCCTCCATTTTGTGATTGTAATTTTATGTTAAAGAGGATTAGCGTGGGATTGTAACACCACCTTTACCCAGGTCACATCCCTGATCCAATGTAAAGGGAGTTTCCCTGGGGGGTGGCCTGCACCACCTTTCTCTCTCAAGAAGCAAGCAGAAAGTGGGGGACCTCACCTCATCAAGACAGCAGTGCTGGGAGCAGAGCGCGTCGTTTGGACCGGGGTCCCTGTGCAGAGAAGCTCCTAGTCCGGGGGAACACTGAAGAGGAAGAGGGCCGACGGAGAGAAAAAGCCTTCCCCTGGAGCTGATGCCCTCAATTTGGACTTTTAGCCTACCTTACTGTGAAGAAATAAATTTCTGTTTGTTAAAGCCATCCACTTGTGGTATTTCTGTTGTAGCAGCACCAGATGACTAAGACAGCAGCCAAGCTCTTAACACTATGCCACCAGGGCTCCTAAGGGAAATGTAAATCAAAACCACAATGAAATACCACTTCATACCCACTAGTATGGCTATTATCCAAAATGCAGAAAATAACAAACATTGGTAAGAATGTGGAGAAATTAGAACACTGATCCATTTTTGGTGGGAATGTAAAATACTACATCTGTTGTGTAAAACAGTTTGGTGTTTCCTTCAAAAGTTAAACACAGAATTACTATGTTGTTGTGTACCATCAAGTCAATTCCGACTGATAGTGACATAGTATGACAGAATAAAACTGCCCCATAGGGTTTCTAGGCTGTAGTCTTTACAGGAGCATCAAACATCAAACCATCAACCTTTTGGTTAGTAGCCCAGTAGTTAACCATTGCATCACCAGGGCTCCTTAGAATTACCATACCACCCAGCAATACTATTCCTAGGTATATGTCTAAATGAATTGAAAGCAGCGACTCAGACAGACACATGTATAGCAATGTTCATTGCAGCATTATTCACAATAGCTGAAAAGTGGAAACAACCAAAGTGACCATCAAGAGATGAATGGATAAACAAAATGTGATATACCTATACGATGGAGTTATGCTGCAGCTGCCAAGCCAAGGAATGTTCCTGGGGCTACCGGAAGCTGAGAAAGACAAGAAAGGATCTTCCCTTAGCCTTTGCAGAGAGAGCATGACCCTGCTGACACAGTGAATTCAGACTTCTAGCCTCTAAGACTGTGAGACAATAAATTTCTGTTGTTTTACACCCACCTATGTACTCTAGGCAACAGGGAGATGCTTCCCTCCCAGACACTCAGGGGCAGCTGTCAGCCCCTTGCCTTGCTCAGCGTGACCCCCTATTGCAGCCAGATACCTATGCCTACACCAATCACCCATGCCAGTCTAGGACTGTAGGTGAGAGCCTGCATCACACACTGGGTGACCGACTACCTGGACACCCTGAATCCATACCAGAAAAGTAAACAGAATCCTGTGTTCACATACTTGGTAACAGATCTAACCACCTGGTGACAGGATGTTAGAGCTTCAGAAGTGCCAATAATCAAACTAGCTCACACGAGCAGCCTATTTGGGCATATCAAAACAAAACCAGAAGCTAGGACAAAGTAAGCAAATATAAAATAAATATAATAACTTATTGATGGCTCAGAGACAACAGTCAATAATCACATAAAGAGGCAGACAATGATGGCTTCAGCAAGCTTCCAAGAGAATCAAGAAATTTTCTGGAGGAAGAGAATTTCTTGGAATCCAGAGGCGGAATACAAAAGATTAATATACAGAACTCTTCAAGAGATCAGGAAGGAAGGAGATTGGACAAAACACAGACCAAGCTAAGAAACAGGAAGAAAAAAAAAGGATCTTAAGGTTATTCAAGAACATAATGACAAACAGGCTGCAAGAATCCATAGAGAGACAGCAATCAGAAATCCAGAAGATTAACAATAAAATTTCAGAATTAGACAATTCAGTAAAAGTCATAGGAGCAAAACTGAGGCAACAGAAGTCTGAATTAGTGAAGTTGAAGATAAAGCACTTGACACCAACTTATTTGAGGAAAAATCAGATAAAAGAATTTTTAAAAATGAAGAAACTCTAAGAATTATGTAGGATTCTATCAAGAAGAATAACCTACGAGTGATTGGAGTACCAGAACGGGGGCGGGGGGAGGGGGTAACAGAAAATACAAAGAGAATTGTTGAAGATTTGAAGATTTGTTGGCAGAAAACTTCCCTGATGTAATAAATTTCTGTCATTTTAAGCCACCCACTTTGTGGTAATTTGTTACAGCTGCTCTAGAAAACTAATAGTATATTTTAATGCTAAGCATTTCATGTGATAAAGGATTGTGAAAAAGGAAAACAGACTGACAACTTCATATTTAAAAAATTATAAACTGAATTCAAATGATAGTAATGTGGGTTTTAATAATTACAAGGGATTAAACCTGTGATGACCAGAAGGAAGCCTTTAACACGAAGTATTTATTATACTTAATATACTGGAAAAAATCAAAACATTTTAATACGTTACACTAAGTCTATTCATTTTGCCATGACCTTGCTAGGGATTGCAAGGAGCCCTGGTGGCGCAGTGGTTAAGTGCTCTGCTGCTAACCGAAAGGTTGGAGGTTCAAATCCACCAGCCGCTCTGTGGGAGAAAGATGTGGCAATCTGCTTCCATAAAGATTACAGCCTTGGAAACCCTACGGGGCAGTTCTACTCTGTCCTATAGGGTTGCTATGAGTCAGAATTGATCAGACGGGCCATATATATATTTTTTTAAACTAGTGATTATCATTAGTTATATATATTGTAATTCAAAAGCATCAAATTTTTTATCAAATTTTATCTGAGAATAAAGGGATTAAAAGAAACACATTTTTAGAATTTAAAATACCAACACACTTAAGTAACTTAAAAGTAAGCTTTCTACCCACAATTGAAAGATTTGAATTTTTCTTTTTTATTATCCCAGCAAATGTTACACTAGAGAAAATGATTTGGAAAATACAAATAGATTCATTAAAAACACAGGCTGATTACTGATACCTACTTCATTCATAAGTATGCAAAACAATTTAGTTATAATGCAAAGCTGTAATTCCTTTTCCTAACAAAGCGTTATTTTATAAAACTGTAGTGTGATCATTGATTCAATTTTAATACAAAATACTTATATATACAATATAAAAGTAAACTGGTATACTGCCTTCCACAAAGAGAGACATTAAGGCGCTTTACAAATATACCAATATGTTGACCCAAATTACTTTTTGCTTCAGGTGAAAGCAAACAGGCTAAATATTTCACTTTAAATACCAAATGGTTTCTTGTTTTTATTAATTTTTTTTTTCTAAAGGTACCGTGGGTAACAACAGCAGCAATGTCTAAAAGTCCTCCCACTGCATTCTCTAATTTCTAACATATTATTAAGTCAGAATAAAACATTTCCACTCACAGTTTTGCACTTTGCAACAGCAGAAGGTAATAACTTTTTAAAAAAGTCAATCTCAAAGTGACTTCTTAGTCATACATTCTAGAGTTTCTATTACAAAGAAAAAGGTAGAAAAGATACAGCAATAGGGCCTGCCTTAGGATACCACTGGACAATACATAATAGTATCTACAATTACATAATTATAGAGCACATTTTATAAATACTATTGATATGCATAAAAAAGGGTTAAGTATAAGAAAGACAGTACATTTTCTAAGGAGTGGGAAAATTATTTTAAAAAGAAAACATGTATAACCAATGTTTTCACTATTTCAGTTGAGAGCATATATATTTTTGATGTTGTAGTTCTTATTTTTTTGTCAGGAAGCACCAAATTTTGTAATAGAAGAACTGGATATAATTTGGGAATAAGATAGCTTAAAGTAAGTATAGCTAAACTATTAAACTGCAGATACCAAAGGCTTGTATACTGCTTCAGATAAACACAAAAAGCTTATACTGTCAGAGGAAATTTTAAAAGTATAAAATTTGTAGTGTCCATTATATTTGAGGAATAAGGGCATACAGATGAGGGGAATAGGGGCAGGAAGAGGCAGACAGCATCTCAGTTTTCCTACAATGCAAGTGGAACAAAGTTGGTTTAGTAGTGTCGTTGCTCCATAGCCCAGAAGTGAAACTAAATGGAAATTTAAGTACATCTCACTGAAAAAAATCTTAAGCAAAAGTAAGATCTTTAAAATGTGAGTACTGTCTCAAAATTCTTGAGCTAACTAGTTTGTTTTACATAGGATTTTATGGGACTGATCAAATGTGCCATGAAGTTAAGACTGCCATATCACTACAGTGCATTTTTAGAATTCTCTGATTAGAACTCCTGTAGAAATACTGTAACAAATCTGTAACAAGCTAAATACATATTTCAGTGCCCTGAAAATGGTGTGTTTAAAAACATCTTAGTGCTGTACCTGCAAGAGAGAGGCATTCATAGGGACATCTTATCACATGCTACACAGACTTTTTCCATCACAAATTAGTATTTATACAAAGGTGCTAATTTGAATACTGAATAAATTAAAAGCCAAGTTCTTAGTTTAATAAGTCAATTTTATTATAGGACAGGAGTCCCTCACCTACAGTCTAGGTTTCAACGTGTCCAAAATCCCCTGAAACTGTATGCAATGTTAATGTGTACGTTGATATGTATTTTTCTGGGAAGAGAGTCCACAGCTTTTATCTGATTTTCAAAAGGACCAGTGACCTCAGAAGACACACTATTACATGGCAGTGATTTTCAAGCTGGGCTCTGAGAATGCCACCTGGAGAAAGGTGGGAAGTGTAAGCTAAATAAATGTATTTTGCCCTCTCCCCAATTAAACTGCAACAACTTTGCCTTTAATTTTACTCACATATATGGTTTCCATTAGCTTTTAAATGAAGAAAGCTAAGGGTTTGAAAATCACTAGAATTATGCCTCTTATCCACAAATTTTGTTTTAATAAAACAATTCCTTATAAGTGGAGCATAAGAAAAGGAAACAAAATATAGATTTTACTAATGTCAAGAACAGAGCCCTTTTTCCCCTTCCTAAAAGACAAGCTAAATGTATTTTGGTATGAAACCACAAGTCCCTTAAAACCCAAGCATATATAATAGGCATGCTGAAAAACATATTATTTAACCTTAAATAAGTTAGGAGATTTGCATTTTCTACTAAGACCACTAAAACTTTTCCTAACTGCTAATGGCCATCTCAATTAAGAGTTAATTATTAATTATTTTCTTCACCAGTTAATCTGCCCTTAGTTAAAATACTGCCAAATAGCCAGATTTTTCTTTGCCAATCAGTCTAAAAGAGGAAACCTGTAACATTACTGATGACATAATCAAAAGCAGCACTATACAGAAGTACTTTTCTAGTGAGTACCCACAAATAATTACTAATCAGAGTTTCATGTGAAACAGAATCATCTCTTAGGATGGCTGAAAATATGTTTTTAAATCTTGAAATAAAAACATGAAAGAACTTAGCTTTTAATAGTCTAAAATTTTGATTTACAGCAGCTTTGTTTCCTTTTAAAATGGAGGCAGTATTAAAAATATCAATATGGAAAGAAAACTGGTAGCGCTTTCGCTTCTTTTAAAGCCAGTAATTCTTGAGAAATAAATGCTAGAAGATTACATATTACATAGAGGGGAAAAAAGATAAGCTGCATTCTTTTTCCTTCTGATGAACACATTAATGTTGTCTCAAACCTGTATTTCCCAGTTCTAGGTTGTGAATTATACAGATTATGATTAGCCCAGGAACACTCACCAACATGATGGCTTAATTTCTCTAGCTTATTTTGAATCAAAAACAAAGTTATGGGGGGGGGAACAAAAAACAAACAAAAAAAAAGAACTCTGTAAATATAGGGGATATTTCGTATTTGGTTAAAGCAAGATGAAACGAACTGTCTTTCAAAAAATTTTCAAAAATTCTTAAAAAATTATTTAGCATATGTACAAATAGATACCAGGCTTTTCCTTTTTAAACAAAGCACTATTTTTTTAAGTACTTTAAGTACCAAGAACTGACTACAATATTGAGTTCATAATTTACTTTCCTTATAACAATTTTTTTCTAAATTACTGATTAAAAAGGTGGGAATAAATTAACATTTTAAAGAGTTCCCATAATTTAGAAAATAAAATATTGTACACAGAGCACACATACACAGCTCTATCACATTTGCATATTTTTACTCTCAGAACCTCAAAAAACCCTGCATTTGAGGCCTTTTTGCAAATCTTCATTACAGAACCATGGTTCAATTATTTCCTAGCATGTTAAACATATACTAGGTCAGGATTTTTGATCTCTGAGCCTGTGTGTTGATCATCTTCATCTGACTGTTGCTCTGAACCTTGTGAATTAATGTATTCATATTCAATAGGCTTTGGATAATTGTATGGGTAACCGTTGTCATCAAAAAACCTCCGAAAGGTAAATTCATAGAAAGCATGTTCAGGGTGCTTTCCATTTTTATACCATCCATTGAGAGTGTCATTTACATTTTCTTCCTCATTACCATCACTCCATAACTTATCAGGATCAACTGGATCAAAATTTGATGTATCTGTTGGGTGTGTGATTTTAGGAATGTATGAAGCAGACTGCTGTCTCAGGTCACTGGAGAAATCAATCGTTTTAAAAAATGAATGAGCTTTTATTTCATCAGCACCATTCTTGCCTAAGCGGTCTTCTGGTCCTCGACAAAGTTTAATAATAAGGTCAGAGGCTTCAGGACTCAGTTTAGCTTGCGGTGGAATGTGAAGAGATGTTTGCCAGTTGATAACCTTTAACAAAGATTTTTAAAAATTAGGAGGGAAGAGATAAAAAATAAAAAAATTTCCTCTGATTTTTATACCAAAAAAAAAAAAACTTACAGGTCAATTTGTGTTTTTTAATGAATTGCCATGGTATTTCCCTTTCCATACCTTTATTAATGCATCATGCCTGGAAAATAACTTTTTCTCCCACATCCTCCCCTCTAGGCAATCTATACTCACAGTACAAGACTCATAAATTATATCTCCCCTGTTAAGCCCTCCACCTCTGGTAGAAATGACTACTTCTACTGTGCCTCCACTGCACCAGGTATTTACTTCTATCAAAATACCCCTAATACTTGTGGTATATCTATGTCCTTCCACTGGAGTGTAAAATACCATAAGACAAGGGAGCATGTTTTATTTGTCCTTGTATTTCTCAGTGCTTACAAATTGCCTGGCATATAATAGATGCTCAATAAATCTTTGTTCCAGTTTTGAATAAACTGGAATGAGGAAGGAAGGCAGGAATGCCGAGTGAAACCAGACTATCTAGTTTCTCCCCCTGAACCCTTGGAGGCAGGGGGAATGGCATAGGAACTTACCAGCTACCACAGAGGGAGAAAAATATACTTCCTCTTCTAGCATGTTTATCTTAAAGTCTTGTCCAGGTTAGAAAAAGGAGATGCCTCAACTAATAATAGAATATTTCTTTGAATTCTTTTTGGGAAAAAAGAAAATCAAAATATAATGGCAGCTGTTTATGCCTGATACTTGGGTTAGTTTCCCAAGCTCCTCTCTTTCTGTGATGCCCCTGGTACTTTCCAATTCCCTGAGGCTCCTCTTTTTGGTTTTCTGACCAGAAGTGAGGGCTTTATTTGCCCCATTCTGCCACACATGTCTTGTGACTGTGCTTTTTAAACCCAAGTTATTTTTGGGCAAGGTGGCAAGAGGATAGAGGGAAAAAAGCAAAATGGATTTCCCATCCAGTTGGAATTACATGCTTTCCATTTACAATTGGAGAGTTTTAGGTGCCTACGGGCCCCTACTGCCACTTCTGCTACTGCCAAGGAAACCCTTTCCACACCTCAAACCTAAACTAGAGGGCTTCTCCTGGAGCACTCTCTGTGCTGATGTCCACTTCTGGGTGCCGAGCTACCGCTGAGTCCAGCCTGGGGATACCAGTGGGAAAAAACCAGTAAACTCACCACTAGGTTCAGTGGTACTTTTGAATTCTCATATTCTTCCCCAATCTGCCCATTGTTATTCACTTTTCAGTGTCCTCAGAGAGCTGTTTCAAGCATTTTGTCCAGGTTTTAAAGTTACATTTGGTGGAAAAGTCAGGGTGGAGTGTGCCTATTACGTCTTACTCAGAACCAGAACCTCTCTCTGGCTGCTTTTAAAGTCTTTTCTCTCATTAGTTTTCAGCAGTTTGACCATGATGTTCCTATATGTAGTTCTGTCTTTATATGCATCCTAATTTTCACCATTTGGTAGCCACTTTAGTTATTAAATTTTCACTACTACTATAAATAACCACACTATCTACAATGCAGGTATTTTTCTTCTTACGAATCATTTCCTTGAAGTTCCAAGAAGCTATATTATTAATTGGGGTCAAACGTTATCAACGTTTTCATGGCTCTTGTTATAACTCCAGTTGTACTCTTGAGGACTGAAATGGTTAAGAGTCCCACCTTCAAATAAGAGAGTTACTGCTACATAGTCTACACCTTACCTTCACTTGTGTTTCTAATGGTGTTTGTGCCAAGAAAGGAGGTTGTCCCACCAACATTTCAAAAAGAATTACACCAACACTCCACCAATCACACAACTGTGTATATCCTAAAATAAGACACCAAAATTACACAGTTATTCATAAGCACTTTTTTAAGAACACTCAGGATTAGTAAAATCAAAATTAACGTTAAATCACCAGTTTATTTTGTAAAACTAATATTTTTATTATAAACCTGAAAAATAAAATATATTCTAGTATAAGTTTTGGCTAGTCTAAAGGTATATCAAGATTATTTATGAAACAAATAAATGCTTTTACCTGTTCGTAGCAACACTTCAGGTGCAATATAATTGGGAGTCCCAACTAAAGAATGTGCTAGACATCGCTGGTGCTGGCGTGCAGCTCTTCGCTCTAGTGGCTTCAGTCTATCTCCACATCGACAGTTAGAGGGGTCACCCCATTCATTACTGAAATCCATGCTATCTTGTCGTGGATGGTCACCTGTATGTAAAAAAAAAAGAAATAAGGCAACAAGGACAAGTGTAAACCTGAATTCTGTTTAATTTTAAACATCATGATTTAGAGTTAGCAGCATTTTCCCGTAACAAGCTAAGGCACAATGTACGCCAAATCACTGACAGTGTTTATTACCAACTGGAGCCTGCTTTCTGAGATACCAGTAGGATAATCTTACACTAGGAAAAATGAGCCTAAGATTCAGTAATTTACTTATTGTTAAATGATGACAATATAGGTCATAAACAGATAAGGTTAAGAATTATTCACACTGCTCCCATTACTATTCTGACGAAGTTTCAAACAAATTAGATCAGTGTTTCAGTCGTTCGACTAATATTTAAATAAAAAAAAGGTAACAGTGAATAAGAAAGACAAGGTTCTTCTCACAGACAGCTTGCATTCTAGTAGGGGAAAGAACACAACAAATAAATATATATGTAAGAATCAGTGCTTTGTCCCAAGCAGAGAATTAAAATGGGGTGATGAGATAAATATGACTAGACAGCTACATCAAACTGGGTGGTTGGGGAAGAACTATTAGAAGGTGACTAAGATGTAGAAAAACAAGGGGGACCCAACCATTTGAAAACCAGGGCAAGGCGTTCCACACAGAAACAGTAGCAACAGAGAGAAGACCACTATGGTTGGTGACTAGGTAAACGGGAGAATGGAAAGAAATGGAGCAGAAGCTAGTAAAAGTAGGTTTTGTACGCAGGAAGAAATGGTTTGCATTTTACGCCAAGTACCAAACCAAAAAAATCAAACCCATTGCTGTCCAGTTGATTCCAACTCATGGCAACCCCATGTGTTACAGAGTAGAATTGCTCTGTAAGGTTTTCTTGGCTGTAATCTTTATGGAAGCAGTTCGCTGAGCCTTTCTTCTGTGGAGCCACTGGTGGGTTTGAACCACTAACCTTTATGTTAGTGGCCAACTGCAAACTGCTTATACCACCCAGGGACTCCAAGTATAGCGGGAAGCTAGTGGAGAGTTTGAATCAAGAGAATGATAATATCTGATTTATCTTAAAAAATAAAAACTCCAGCTGCTGTGCGGAGAATAGATTATAAAGGACACAAGGGTGAAAACAGAGCAGATGGAAGGCTATTTGACAGGTGAGCTTGGACTAGGATGGCAATAGTGGAGATGAACAGACACAGACTGATTTGTGATACATTTTAGAGGTAAACAGGACTTGATGTGGAAGGCATGGGGAAAAAATCATGGATAACTAGGTGGGTGGTGGAGGTACAATTACTAAAGTAGGAAAGACTGGAGGAGGAAGAGACAGGAGGTGGGGGATTAAGAGCTCTTTTTTGGCAATGTTAAGTATGAAAGGCCTATTAAAAATCAATGTGAAAAAACCAAAAACAGAACAAAAAAAACCCATGTGAAGATCTCTAGTAAGCAGCTGGATACAGAAATCTGGAATTTCAGGCAGATGTCAGGTCTAAAGACAGCAATTTGGGAGTCACTGACACATGGAGAAAAAAAATCAAACCTGTTGCTGTCGAGTTCAGTCCGACTCAGAGTGACCCTATAGGACAAGGTAGAACTGCCCCATAGGGTTTCCAAGGAGTGTCTGCTGGATTCGAACTGCCAACCTTTTGGTTAGCAGCCAAGCTCTTAACCACTACAGCACAGCAGTATAGAAGTATAGAGAAAAGTAAGGAACTGATTACAAAGTTCTGAAATAATGGTTATGTCTGTGGCTAAAGGAAGGGGAAATGATTATTTAGCATGAGTTGGAATTGACTCACCAGCACCTGGTTTGTTTTTTTGGTTCTAAGGTATTTGATAATCCAGTTCTTAAGCTGAATGGTGGTTATGGAGTTTTATAATTATTTTTAAAATGTTTTTACTTTTATGGCATTTCAAAGTAACAAAATGCAAAGGGGTTAACTGAAAAATGTTAATGATATTTAGAAATAATCAAATCTAACACACTCTTTCATTTTATAGGTCTGAGTGTTTGAAGGAGTCACCCAAGTTCATCCAAGAGTCAAGTTGTGACCCAGGTCTTCTGGCTCCCTATCCAGTGATAATACCATCTTACATTTTATTGCATTAATAAATCACATTGACATGTACAAACTAAATGTTATGATTTTACTCACCACTCTGATAGTACTTAGAATCATGTGTCCATCTGAAGCCAGTGCAGAGGCCGAAGTCAGTCAATTTAATATGACCATCACGATCAATCAAAATGTTATCTGGTTTAATATCTCTATGAATAAAACCCATTTTATGAACACTTTCAACTGCACAGGTAAGTTCTGCTATGTAGAATCGTGCCAGATTTTCTGGAAAGATGCCCAATCTAATTAAGAGACTCATCATATCACCCCCAGGAATGTAGTCCATTACAAAGTATAAATTGTCCTTATCTTGGAATGAATAATATAGACGAACTACCCATTCGTTGTCTGCTTCAGCCAGGATATCTCTCTCAGCTTTAACATGAGCAACTTGATTTCGAAGCAGGACATCTTTCTTTCGAAGAGTTTTCGTTGCATACAAAGCCTTAGTATCAACTTTTCTTGCTAGACAAACTTCACCAAAGGCTCCTATTCCTAGTGTTTTTATCTTCACAAACATAGACTTGTCCATTTTAGCCCTTTTAAGACGGATGTAATTAGATTCTTTTTGGCAAAGCATCTTTCTCATTTGATCCTGGGCATCTTGAGATAATCCAACCTAGACAAATAAACTAAATATTAAATGAGGAATTATCTTCTTTCTATATTGAATATTAAGAAATATCTTGAAAAATTCAGGCATATATTTAAAGGTTAAATGTGTAATTTTTAATAAAGCATGTTAGAAATCTAGAATATATTTAAGAGAAAATTAATTATCAAAAGTGCAGTTTAAGAAATAGTTAACAGGATATACAAGGTAAGTGAACAGAGACTGTGCTGTTGGGGGCAAGGAGAAGAGGATCCCAATGGTCAGCTTTCTACTCCTCTCTAATGTACTCAAAAAAAGTCCCCAATGTGCAGTAAGCAAATACCTGTTAACATGCATCCTCATCTATCTCTCTACACATTAAAAAAAAAAAAAAAAAAAACCATTGCCATCGAGTCAATTCTGACTCATAGTGAACCTATCGGTCAGAGAACTGTCCCATAGGGTTTCCAAGGAGCTGGTGGATTTGAACTGCCAACCTTTCGGTCAGCAGCCAAACACTTAACCACTGTACCACCAGGGTCTTCACGCATATTCATCCCTAAATATATGATTAGATTACCTTCATTAGTGGAATGTCTAGGCCTCAAATATTCTTCCTCCCATTTTATCCTTTGTGAAAAGGAATTCTTCCACTCTACATTGATTTATTCTCAAAAACTGATGCTTTTAAGAACAAAACAATGCCTTCTCTAACCTAACCACCCTTTCCCCATTCTTAATAAATAGACAGCAGTCATTAATACCAAACCAAAAACCCGTTTCTGTCAAGTCAATTCCGACTCATAGTGACCCTATGAGACAGAGTAGAACTGCACCATAGGGTTTCCAAGGAGCGGCTAGTGGATTCAAACTGTCGATCTTTTGGTTAGCAGCCAAATGTTTAACCAGTGTGCCACCAGGGCCCCTGGTATAGTCGTTAATAGTCAGTTTTATATCTTTCTCAGGGAATTAGGGTAAGACTGGGAGTCACAGCCTACCACTGAAGCAAAATACAAAGAGCGTCTCCTAACTTATTTAAAAAAAATAACCTGTTTGGTTACAAAAGTATCTTTTACATATTTTGGAACATTTCAAAGAATAGTTACTGTGACTTACAAAGACTTCAGATTAAAAATAAAAAAATAACTTTTAAGTATATACCTGGACTTAGAAGGCAGAAGAGTTTATTTTTGACTAATTAATAAAAAAACTAATACAAAAGGGTTTAAATAGAAAAAGAATTCAACTGGAAAAGTAAGTCTAATTCTAGAAATGCAAGACTAATCGAAATAGAGCAACCTCATGCTTCTGTTAGGATGCGCATCTGCATGCAACAAATCTTTTAAGAAGGGTGGCATGCCAGTCTTAGTATAGAACTGTTTCTCTTAAAATCTTACTTGCCTACACAGTAATGGAGGCTACAGAAGTCAGCAAAGCTTCCAACACCATAAAAGTTTAAATCAGCTATTAGTGAAAGTGAAGAGGAAAAAGGAAAAATAAACTAAGAAAATACATACAGACAGACTTTAGTAAGAAATCCTAAGAGCAAAAATATGTATAAGTCATACAGATTGTCCTGGTATTTCTCATCTAACAAAATTCCGTTTACAGCAGGAATAACAACACTGTGAAATCAGATTTAGAAAAATCACTTTAAAAGAATGGCTGTCTCAAATATGTGAGGAATTTCAATCACAAATTTAAGCCTCTTGGATTAGGAGTGACAGAAGATCAGGAGTCAACCTTTGAACTCTAATCATATGATAAAAACAATAATGATAGTACCATAATAATATCTCAAGACAACTAGTGAAGAGATCTACATAGAATCATAACACAGATTAATCTAAAATGGGTGTTTACTTATTCTGATTTCCCTTTTTAGTATGATTTGATTATTTTCAGCACATTTTTCTCCAGTACATTATAAAAAAGAAATCAGAAGGAGAAATAATTAAAGGGAGATGTCTCTGACACTTTCAAATAAGACCTGTGATGAATAAACCCACACGCCCAAAAACTTACTGCAAGTAAAAAGAAATGTTTCAAAAGCAGATCATGAGGTAGGACCTAGAAATTTCTAGCTTATTTTTAAATGTTGTAAGATAATGTGCAAAACCCAGAAGGCAACCCCTGTTCTAATTTCCATATAAAGAGGTTATGTACATCTACACTGTATACTACAAATAATATTTTTCTTAATTTACACAAGTTTATTAAAGGAAATTGAGAAAATCTTGAAATACTAAAATAAGATGCCATAATCAAACGTACTTTGTTTACTCACTTTTTAAAAATTGGTAACACATTTAGCTATAACAAGAAAAAAAATACTGGACCACAATATTTTAAAATAAACACCAAATAGATAATCAAGTATAAAAATGAACATTTTAAAAGGTGTTACCCGCATCATTTCATTCTCTAATTGTTTTTTACGATGTAGACGTTGCTGGTGAGATTTGAGTACATTTTCCACATGTTGCTCCATAAAGAACTTAAATGCCTGAGGAGAGTAACTCTGAATACGAGATTCCCTTCGCTCTTCGTCCTTCTTGTTTTTCCTAACTGTAATAGGTGAAGTTGTAATCTGTTTCTTTTCTTTATCCCCACTATCAACATTTTCATAACTTTTTTCACCCTCATCTTCCTTGGGCAAGCTAGGCTGATCCTCTTTGCTAGATTTATTTATTGAGTCATATGGAGGAACAGATGGGTTTTGGTGTAGCAGATGTTTTGGATAAGGTGGTGGTGGACCTTGATAGTTTGGAGCTTCAGCAACAGGTGGCATAACAGTCATATTTGAAGTGGTACCCTCAGAAAAAGGACAAGGTTGAACAGTTTGAATTGGCTGTGGTATCCAAGAAGGGTGCGTTGGTGCTAAAGCAGTCTGTAGCTCTGGTTTTAAAACACGAATGCTTTTCACAGGCTGTTGAATAGGAGCTGGTGTAATAGCAGTTACTGTCGTAGCTGAAGGCTGAGAATTAGTAGAGTGACTTGTTCTGTTTCCTAATGGGTTATTAAAAGAATTTGACCTCACTGGTATGTTCGGTTGCCATGTAGGGATTTCATGTCCACTGTTTGGGGATGACTGGGCTGGAGCAGAAGATGACTGAGGCCAAGCTGTTTGTAGTCCAGGTACATTAATGTTATAAAGTTCCATATTATGACTATTCCGGTTTGGCACCATCATAGACTGAGGAATATTTCCATTTGTATATGATGAAGGAGCAGCAGATCCCCCTGTTTGTAAAGTTGAAGGGCTCTGTCCATTAGTTGGGGTCAGAGGATATGGAGGGGGTGGTTGTCGATTCACAGCACCAGCAGGGACAACAGTTTGGTGTATCATAAAGTCAGTCTGACCACTACCATTCTGAATTCCAGGCCTCCCTGGTGGAAAGTTAAATTTGTTAGAACTCTGCATGATGATTGGCTGTCTGCCAACAGGAACTGAACTCATGCCTCTCTGTCCCTGATTAGGTGGATTCATTGGGGAAGTGTTAAGGGGTGGTGGAGGAAAGCCCTCCTGCCATGTCCCAGGTGGAACCGGAGAAGGAGAGATTCGAGACATTACATATTCCATGTTCCCAGAATAGCGCTTTGTTTGAGAGTTTGTTTCCCATGAAGGGGGAGGTGGAGTTGTACCTCTTGGAGGGGGAGTCTGGCCTCTTGGAGGTGGTGGAGGAGTGACACTCCTTACTTGAGGTGGTGGCAGGGGATTCACTCTCTGTCCATTGCTAGGGTGACCTTGAGCAAATGCTGCTATGCCAGATCCCGACAAAGGTCTTCCTACATCTGTCTGCGAGTTAGGACTTTCAGAACGATATGCCACGCTTTCTCCTAGTGGTGGGCCATGTCTCTGAGGAACTAAGGATTCTTTAGAACCTTTCCAGCTTTGTTTACGGTTAATTGATTGTTGTACATTCCCTATGGTGACAAAAGAAGGAGAAAAAAGAAAAAAAACAAACAAACATGTTTTTAACCTCTTATTTTTGAAAAATTTAGCTTGGAATTTTGACACTACTTAACGATCTCCAATTGTCTTTCAAGAAGTATGAAAAATCAAATTTCAGTATGGGATTTCATTTTTACTTTTTAAAAATTTTGACTTGGTAATACATTTTCAAGGTTCAAAATTCAAGAGGTACAGAAGGATACCCACCCTTGTCCCTCAGCCAACCAGTTTCCTTCCTTGAAAGGAACAAATATCAATAAAATATTTTAGATTAGATTAGTGTTTTAAAAAATCAGCTGCAGTGGATGAGAACGGGTAACAAATATCAGTAAAATATTTTAGATTAGATTAGTGTTTTAAAAAGCCAGCAATAGTGGATGAGAATAAGTAATAAATATCAGTAAAATATTTTAGATTAGCGTTTTAAAAAACCAGCTGCAGTGGATGAGAATAGGGATATGGGTAGATTTGATAGGAGATACAGTAGTTCATGGAGGTGATGAAGGTAATGTGGACTACGGAGATGGCAGTAGAGAAAGTTAATGAATTAAGAGGGATGGGAAGGTAAAACTTATAGTTTGGTTACAGATTACATATGAGAGACGGTGATGGAGAGGAATGACTCTTAGGCTTTCGCCTTAGGAAAAAACAGGTGAACATTCATTAATATTGGAGTGGAGAAGGTCTTCCCGAGTATGACAAAGGTTGAGAACATACAGTATGTAAGACTGACAAACATAGATACATAAAACACTTGTCACCATGAAAAACAAAACAAAACAATAAAGAAACCCCACAAAACTGAAAGGTCAACATTATCGTGGGAGAAAATATATTCAATCACATATACAAAAAAAAAGTAGTAAACGTACATAACGGATGGTCTAACACTCTATCTTCTCTAAGCTGGGCAGCGTTCAGTGTCTGTGACTTCAGGGAAAAGTCATCACCCTGCACAAGCCAGACAAATCCTCTACCCACCAGGCTCAGTCTTACCTTCCTCAGATAGTCAGCTGAGGCTAAATGTACCATAACACTCACCCAGCCCTGATCATTAAAAACAGAAGTCTCTTCAATCCAAGAGTACATGGCCATCCCTGCTGTTCTGTGCCCCTCATAAAGCTCTCCATGTTTTGACTCCCTTCCACCTCACAAACCCTTGCACTATGCCCTCTAGGTTGCTGTTCCATAACCAGCAAACGCCCCATCACTAATCTCTTCTCCAACTTTTCCCGCTGTCTCCTTAAAGTTGGTTACCATCTGTTGACACTACTTTCCTTGCAGCCCTTTTAAATTAAGGTTTTCTTTAAAAATAAACTGGGCCAAAAAGTGAAGTTGTGTCTTTTTTGCTCTCCATCTATGCTTCCAAGCTATTATCGCTCCTTCTAACTCTTTTTTTAAAAAGCCTGCTTTGTCATTTTTGTCTTTATTATCAACCTTTGGTGATCTATTTCATACATGTGACTCAAACATGCATATGACTCCAGCTCATACCTATATATCCAGCTCCCTACTTGACATCTCCACTTGGATAACTCAATGACCCTAACTCAACCTTATATCTAAAACCAGGCTTAAGATCTTTCCCCACGAAATTCTGTTCTCTTTCAGCATTTCCTTTCTCAGGTAGGCTATCACCATGCATCCATTTTTCTAAGCCAAAAGCCTGAATCATTCCTTTTCATCACCATCCCCCATGTGTAACCACCAAGTCCTTATCAATTTTATCCCTTCCGTCCCTCTTAATTCATTCACTTTTCTCCATTGCCATCTCCATAGTCCAAATTACCTTCATTACTCCATGAACTACTGTATCTCCTATCAAATCTACCCATATTTCCTCCCTTGCTCCTCTCTAATCCATTCTCATCCACTGCAGCCATTTTTTTGAAACACAAATCCAAATCATGTCATTACCCTGCTTGAAACACTTCAATAACTTCCTGCTGCTCTTAGGATAAAAACAAAATCAATGAAACAGTCCTGCATAGTCAGGCCCCTATGTACTTCTCCAGCCATATCTCATACTCTCGTTTTCAGTGCTCCGGCCACAGTGATCTTCTTGCAAGACCCTGCCAAAGCGGCCATACGTAGGATGTGCTTCCTCATTAAGCCCACCCCCAGTAACCCTTGTCTTTCTTCAGATAGCAGCTCTATTATCAGTTTCTCAGGAAGGTTTTCTCTGATCTCCTTGATTAGATCAAAAATCCCTCTATTATATGAGCCCATAGTACCATGTAACTCTCTCCTTCATCCACACTCATCCAGTTGTAATTCTACATGTATTTGTGTTATTATTTGATCTGTTACTAGAATGTAAGTGCCACAAAAGGGCAAGAACTTTATATCCAAAGCAAAACAAAGGGTCTGAAATACTAGTTGATCAATAAAAAAGTACTGAATGAAAAGGGGAATGAATAAACAAATAAATAAAGACTTCTCATAAATCAATAAAAAAAGACAAACACAAGATTAACAAAAAAATATAAAATGGTAATCTAAAAATAAGTAAAAAAAATGTTCAACCTCATGAGTAACTGAAAGAAATATAAACGTAAAATGAGATAGCATTTCCTCAGCCACCAAACAGTCAAAAATGATAACACCCAGGGTTTATAAATATATGCATTCACATATTAAACTGATAAGAAGAATATAAATTGATACTACCTTTCTGGACAGTAATATGTATCAAAATCCTTAAAATCTTCTAAGTCTTTCAAAATTTACTTTTACAAAATCACCAGGAATGGAAAATAATTTAGCCACAAGGTTATTTACTACAGTGCTCTCTATAACGGCAAACAATAAATGGAAATACAGCAAATGTCCAAAAATGGGGGACTGCTTAAGTAAAGTATATGATACATTTACTTTAATGTGGCTATTAAAAGTATTTTGTAGAATATTTAATAATATGAAAAATTATGCCTGGTACACTAAGTGACTAAAGTAGATCGCAGTATGACCCCACTTTCTGCTTAAATAACAAGAACAAAAATATACACATATAAACCCATTATACAGGAAACAAGACTGGGAAATAAAACATACCAAAATACTGTGGGTATTAACAGTGGTGTTTTCTTTTTGCTCATTTACTTTCTAAATATTCCATGATAAGCATGTCTTACTCTTATAATAAGAAATTATAAGAAGAAAAAAGAGTAGTTTGAATGATGATATTTGTAGAAAAGAAGAGATATTTCAGTTGTAGTATAACCAGTGAAGTAGTTCTCAACCTAGACTGCTGCTTATCGGAATTATCTATAGAACTTTTAAATGTGAAAGCCCCACGCCCAAATTCATATTGGTATAATACCACAGCGTTATTATTCTAAGTTGAGACTTTCACTTACTGGGGAGCTTTTAACAATTCTAAGACTAAAGATTTGATATACTTAAGTATTTTAAAACTATACTGTAAGAGACTAGGAAAGAAGTTTGATTAATCACCTGGTTTCATGCTGGCATTAATAGGTCTGGCAGCTGCTGCAGCCATCTGCTCCCGTCGAGGATCTTGGTAACTCATTTTACTAATGAATTCAATTGCTGCTTCTATGCTTCTGTTATTAGTTTTCTGAAGAGCTTGTATAACCATATCCTGATATGAAGTTTAAAAAAGAAAAAAAATATTAAATCTTACAATTAATAAGAGGGAAACAGCACTATGAGTTCCATTAGAGAAATTCTTAATTATGAAGAACTGGCCCCCAAACCATAATACCAATATCCTGTTTGTAACTACTATAAAAATCCATATAATCTCAAATTATTAAAGAAAACAAAATAAATCCATCTTTATGTAACTTATTACTGTTACTTTCTAGGCAAAACCTATTCCTGATACAATCACAGCAATATCATTGTGATTATTTCTCATTCTTATATAGAGACTATTAGATTTTTAAAGGTAGGTATCAATCAAAATACTAGAATCTATTTTTCTTGTATTGTCAAAGCATTTGATTAAGCACTTTTGCTACCATGTATGCTAGTAAAAGCGCTATGTAGTTCTGGTTCCTATCCTCTTAGAGCTTACATTTTCAGAGAACTGTATTTACAGGGACACAAATATAGGACAAATGGTAGAAGAAAAATACTTAGACAATATATGATTATGTGATGATGAATTCATGGCGCTAGGTGGAGTAATGGAAAAAGCAGAGGATGTGGAGTCAGACAGATCTGGGTTTGAATTCCACCTCCTCCACTTTAACACTGTAAGACCTCTGACAAGTTATTTACCATTTCAGAGCCTCAGTTTCTTCATCTGTAATAAACTCATAAAGCACACAAGCACAGTGTCTGGAGATCAACGTTTGTTGTCCTGATGTCCTATTCCTTGTCCTTTATGTCATATGAAGACACATATATAGTGTCACGGGGAAATGTTATATGGAGACCTACATTATAAAGTGTCATGGGGAAAATATATTGACATGCATTTTACAAGAATATATATGCTCCTGTAAAGATTACAGCCTAGGAAACCCTATCGGGCAGTTCCACTCTGTCCTATAGGGTCGTTATCCATCAGAATTGACTCAATGGTACATAATGACAACGACGACAGTGACTAACGACCATCTTAGCTAGCATACCTAGGTAGCATATATATTCATATATATAATAAAGCACATGGGGGCACAGTTACGGAAACTTCCTAGACATAACCAAACACCTCACAGAATTGGTTTACTGGGTTAAAGGGCTTGGGACCATAGTCTAGTGTGACAACTCGGTCAACTGGCAAAACATAGTTCATAAAGATAATGTTCTACATCCTAGTTTGGTGAGTAGTGTCTGGGGTCTTAAAAGCTTGTGAGGCTAGATGAGAAGGCAAAAAGGGACAGGGGCTGGTTGAATGGACATGGGAAATCTGGGGTGGAAAGGAGGAGTGTGCTGTCACATTATAGGGAGAGCAACTAGGGTCACATAACAATGTGTGTATAAATTTTTGTATGAGAAAATAACTTCAACTGTAAACTTTCATTTAAAGCATAATTTAAAAGAAAAAAAAAAGCTAGCAAGCAGCCACCTAAGATACAACAATTGGTCTCTACTCATCTGGAACAAAAGAGAATGAAGAAAACCAAAGACTCAAAGAAACTACTCCACAGGACTAACAGCCCACACGAACAATGGCCTCATCTAACCTGAGACCAGAACTAGGTGGTGCAAGCTACCACTACTGACCATTATGATCAGGGACACAATAGGTCCCACATAGAATGGTAGAAAAATACAGAACAAAAATACCTTAAAAAAGGCCAGACTTAACTAGACAGAGACTAAACAAACCCCTGAGACTATAGTCTTGAGATACCCTTTGAATTTAAAACTGAAGCCACTCTCAGAGGTCACCTTTCATCCAAATAATAGATTGGCTTATAGAATAAACAATATCACCCATGAGAACTGTGGTCCCTTAAATAATAAACTACATGAGACCAAAGAGTCAACATTTACCCTAAAGCAAAGCAGAGAAGGTAAGGAGGGGCAGAGAAGTTAGATCAATGGAAACAGAACAAACAGAATGGGAATAATGAGAATGCTGACACATTTGAAAAATGTAACCAGTGTCACAAAACAATTTATACAGAGATTGTTAAATGAAAACCTAATTTGCTGTGTAAACTTTCACCTAAAACACAATAACCAAAACCAAACCCATTGTCATTGAGTCGATTCTGACTCATAGCAACCCTACAGAACAGAGTAGAACTGCCCCATAGGGTTTCCAAGGTGGATTCAAATTGCTGAAATTTTAGTTAGCAGCCTAAGCTCTTAACCACTGTGCCACCAGGACTCCAAAACACAAGAAAATATTATAAAAAAAGACAGAGGCAGCTACTTACTTGCACTAGACGATTTAGTATTTCAAACATTATTTTAAAATGAGAAATGGCAAGACAAACAACCCAATTAAAAAACGGGCAAAGGACTGGATTAGATACTTCTCCAAAGAAGATCTACAAACGGCCAATAAGCACATGAAGATGCTCATTAGACACTGCTCTTGTTGTCGTGTGCCAGCAAGTCGATTCTGACTTATAGCAACCCTATAGGACAGAGCAGAACTGCTCCATAGGGTTTCCTAGGCTGTAATCTTTATGGGAACAGATTGCCAGGTCTTTTCTCCCACAGAGCCACTAGTGGGTTTGAACTGCCAACCTTTCGGTTAGCAGCCAGGTCAGCAGCCAAGTGCTTTAACCACTGTGCTACCAGGACTCCTTCATAAGTCATTAGGGAAACGCAAATCAAAATCATGAGACACCACTCCATCCCCACTAGGATGACTATTACCAGAAAAAAACAGAAAAATGAGTGTTGGGGATGTGAAGAAACTGGAACCCTCCTGCACTGCTGATGGGAATGTAAAATGGTGCCGCCCTATGGACAACAGTTTGGCGGTTCCTCAGAAAGTCAAACCCAAGAATTACCATAAACCAAAACCAAAACCCGTTCCCACTGAGTCAATTCTGACTCGTGGATGACTAGAACTGCCCCACAGGGTTTCCAAGGAGAGGCTGGTGGATTCAAACTGCTGAGCTGTTGGTTAGCAGCCTGAGCTCTTAAGCGCTGTGCCACCAGAACCTCCAGAACTACCACAGGACCCAGCAGTTCCACTCCTAGGTATACACCCAAAGAATTGAAAGCAGGGATTCAAACAGATACTTGTACACCAACATTCACTGCAGCAATATTCACAATAGCCAAAAGGTAGAAATAATCCAAATTTCCATTAACAGATGAACGCATAAACAAAATATGATATATACATACAATGGAGTATTACTATTCAGCCATAAACAGAAAAGAAGTTCTAATAGATGCTACAACATGGATCAACTTAGAAAACATTATGCTGAGTGAAATAAGTCAGACACAAAAGGACAAATATTGTATGTTCCCACTTACATTAAATATCTAGAATAGGGAAATACATAGAAACAGAAGTTTGTTAGTGGTTACCAGGAGGTGGTGGTGGTGGGGGAGTGGGGATTATTGCTTAAGGGGTACTAAGTTCTGGTTTGGGATGATGAAAAACTTTTGGAAATACAGTGGTGATGGCTGCACAACATGGTGAATGTTAATTTATATGACTGAATTGTACACTTAAAAATGGTTAAAATGGCAAATTTTTTGTTGTATTTTACCACGATAAAAAAATTACAAAGGAAAAAAAAAAAGAGAGAAATGGCTTATAAGAATGATGGGTGAAGAGACAAACGATCTACTTTTGTGAAATGACTGTGAGACCAACCAAAGAAAGGTTGTGCAGACTTGTTATCTACCTACGATTCACTCTCCCTTTCTTGGAAAAAGTTACTGATTTTGTTGAAAACAGTTTTCTTTATAGCTATAGTGATCACATGATAGTTTTGACTAATGAGACATAAGGCAAGGGTTTCTGGAAGAATTTTGCTATCCCTGATTTAGGTGCCGCTTCTTCCTATCTCCTGTTTCCTAGACAACGGATATGGTACCTGTACTACTTCATCTTGCTAACAAGAAGGAAAATTTAAGAGAATCTTAAGAGTCCTATGCTCTGGCATCTTTAAGAGGCTAAAACAATGCTAGCTATATAAACTGAATCACTACCTTGTTTAAAGCATTATTATTTACATTTTTGTTTAAAACAACCAAACTCAATCCCCAGCTTATACAAAAGTAAAGTGTGGTCACATTTTATGGCAACGAAATTTTGCAAATTTAAAATAGTGAAATACAAATAAATTAGTAAGTCTTACTTCATGTACAAATTTTAAAATACAAATCACTCAAAACTAAAATTCACTGGGGAGTGCTTAATTTTAAAACTGGTAAAGTCAAGTGAACTGTGACGGTCTGTATGCTACTACCACATGACAGTGTCACTTCACTTGGTAAGACAATTGGCACTCACTATACGTTTTCATATTATAGGAGCCTATATTCTTATTAGATGCATTGGAATTTCAGCCAGTGATTTTGGTGATTTTTATGCTGGCTTTTATTTTTTAATATTCATTGCTATTTTAAAATATTTTTATATCTCTAACAATGTCACCCAAGAGTTCATTAAGTGAGTGTGTTAGTGCCAGTGTAAATGAAAAGCACCCTTAAATCGATAACTTTAGAAGCCCTGTGTGATAAGAAAATATTATGTCCACATTACTATGCTTTTGTTTATCATGCTTATAAGCAAAAATATACTCCAGTGACTGAAATCTGTGTGCCCAAAGAATGCACCAGTCCTACTTAACATTTAGTTCTATGGGAAAATAATCTTGAACTAGCTGAGCTTTGAATTTTAGAGTAAAAAAAATAAAAAGCTAACTGCCTTATACTTGCCATACTTAAAGGAACAGAACAGGGCTTATGAAATGATAAAAAGAATGAAGTGAAGCTGGGTAAGAATTCTGAAGTACCAACTTAGGATCAATACGTCAACAGATTGACGTATTGTTTATATCACCATGAGGATAAATAATTGTTGTTATCATTATGTGCCGTCGAGTTGGCTCTAACTCATAGTGACCCTAGGTACAACAGAACAAAACAATGCCCAGTCCTGTGCTATTCTCACAATCGTTGCTATGTCCGAGCCCACTGTTG